CTCCTTCTGAAAAAGTCCCCCTTGTTTTCTTCGCCGCTGTCCCCCCCTCTCGTCAATCCTCCTGCACCCCCCTTCGCTGCTGTAGTCGCCCCTTTGCCTACTGTTACCAAACAACTCTTCGCTCTGACAATGTAATTCTATGAGGAGTTCGCCCGGGCCTCCTCAGCTGACCTCTTCCCTGTATAACCCTGGTTTTCTTTCACACGGGCAGAGAAAAGGTGACTCGGTTTGGTGGCCTGTGTCTATGTGTCTATGGGTGACTGAATACTGTTGAGACTAATACCCCACTAATCTGGTCATCAAATACCCCCAACTCACCAAATCTGCCCCCTTTAAACAACAGGATGGTCAGCGCACCAGGGCCACAGCACACTGGGCAAAAACACGGGCAAAGCCATAGAAAAAGTGACAGCTCAAGAGAACAGTTATATGTAAATAAAAACAAATGACTCAATGTACTGCATTTAAGATACAGTCATTTAGTTAATGACCAACACAATGCCCACAATTTAAAAACGGAAAGAGAAAAACACAAATAGAGGTTGACTGACTGATTTATGTTGGTTGACAGATATTTGCAATTTTTAGAGTATCGCCTAATGGCCCTCAATATTTAGTTTGGGTCAACCTGCTGCCCAGAGTACACTTAAAGCTTTATTTGAACAGTGCAAAGAGATAACAACAACAAAACCTAACTACACAGCTCTCTAATATGTTTGTTTTAAAAGGTTTGGATTTAAGTTTAAATCACATAATTCAGGTGAAATTTGCTGTCACACATATTGCCTCAAAAATATTGGCAAACCATTGAATGATTTTAAAGAATCAGGACAAGCCAAGAAAAAAAAAAAAACATTGTTTGATCTCTAGACACAAACAATGACTGTGACAAAGTAAATAATTGTAATGTAATAACAAGTAGTCACTGTAAATATCAGTGCCATGATTTCAAGTCCCTCTGTGAAACATTTTAGCCAATAAATAGTTTAAAAAAAAAATCTGTAATTTCACTACAAATATTTCATTGCTTGAAAAACTTCCATGCTTGTCTTGAGGGAGCCTGCCTCTCCACAAACTGGACTCATAACTTTGCCTGCTGAAGCATATTTTTCTCCATGGACTTGCTATTGCTTTGCTTGAAATGTTTAGTATCTTAGTAACTTAAACTTGTTTATTTCCATGGAGACATGTAGGGGACATAGCTTCCACCAGAAATGTTAAGCAGTGGGTCTTTAATACAGTGAATATTCTATTCTAATATTTGTTTAAAAAAAACAACATTCACCTCAGTTGTGTTTTCTACCTTACAATATACGATTGAAACACCCTTAATCCACTAGTGTGATACAAAAATATCAATACATTTTTGTTACTAAATAGGCTTCAATACAATACACACATTTTTAGACAATAGAATGTACTTTTTCACTTTCTGTGGTTTTGTATTTGTTCTGATAAAGCTCATGATCAGGAAAGGACCAGTGACTGTTTCAGTATTAGTTTTAGTATATCATTTCTGATGCTTCTGACTACGCCAACATGCAGTCTGACTCTCATTCTGCATGGTACAAAACCCAGATTGTTGGTGTAGTAATTTTGGGACCTCTGCTGTGTGACTGACGGACTGAGGCGGAGTCCATCTGTCCTGTTAGACCACACAGCTCCACAGACAGCAGACAGTGAAGTGTGTGTGGAACTGTTCATTTCTACTGCTCCAACATCTGCTCCAGCTGAGACTTCATCATGATACTCACACCAGTACATGGATGTGCTTTTCAAGGGACAACTATAGTGTTACTCTGATAATGCTCTTTCAAGTTTTCTCTTCCTATTTTTTATGTCATTTGAGGTTTTTTGACCATTCCGACGATAGAATATTTTATTTAACATTTTTAATAGCTATGGTAACTAGGCACAGGACAATACTGAAATGTTCTGTCATGATTCTCATGGCCAAAATAATTGCAGTTAACGCTATTATGAACATTTCAGACAGTTTAATGATGTTATTATAGGGCCTGTTAAATGCAGTTTACATCAAAGACCCAGACACTCTCATGGTTTACAATCAGGTACAGGCCCTTTAATAATTAGAAGTATCATATTCATATCAATATTATGAATCAGTGTTTGAACAACTAGTAAGTACTTTGTTATGATCCATAACAAAAGATAATGGAGTAGCAGCTTTTTTTCTAGCACTATCTGCGGGTATAATGGTGATGATCTTTGTTGGCAATTATAACAATTGAAACAAAAATGATAATTGAAGAGAAAATGTAGCACCAATGATTATTGTACTCCCTTTTAATTCAATAATAAACCATAAACAATAATCATACTGTATTTTCATCTCCAAAACAGAATATTCACAAATTGTGTTTTCAGAAGATATGAGAGTGGTAGCCAGCACACATGTAGTGGTCCTGGACACAACAAAGAAAATACATCCCTTTGGTGAAATACTAGATCTGAGCCAGACTCTCTAATCTTTCTCCACCAAAGATTCAACCAAGCACATCACTGGTGCCCTTTCTGGCAGCACACAACTAGACCACCTCACTGATACAAACAGTTCCGAGCTCAAGTTTAATTTGGAAGACAGCTACTTTCAACCATGGCTAATACCAGCTGCAAATATGGGTTTTAATTGGAGTGTACATTGGTCAAATGTGCAAGAAAATGCATATGATCAAGTCACAACTTCTACTCAACAGGCAATGGTAACTGTAGGGATAAAAAATAACAAAAAAAAGTATTAAATTACACCTTTTCTGACAAATTTCTGCAATTTCATTTTATATGTTTTAAAATAAGTATCGCCTTCAGAGAAAACATAACACACACACACATACAAATAAACGCATCATATTTGAGAGAAGACTGAAATAACTTAAACTGTTAATACCACATTTATTTAAAGGTTTTCTGTCTCCATGGTGACACACAGGCAACCAGGTCAAGTTAAGAGTCAGATGTGTGGAGATAGGACCCTGCTCACAGTAAGAAAGCAGGTTATTTTTCAGCAATGAAAATACCTGTTCTTGAATAAATGAACATAGTTTCATTTGTTGGAGATGGCAGTCCTTTCCCACTAGAAATGCTACATAGTGCACCTTTAATAACGTGTTCATAGAGATCTAAAACTGGTTTAGGTGTCATTTGCAGATGGTCAGTAATCATTTCAAATGGATTGGAACTTATCTTTTAACTTAACTTTCAACTTTATTACATCTCTCGAAATTAATGTGCCACAAATGTCAACAAACAAGACCAAAAAATACATGTCAAAATGCGTTACTCTTCTACAGTGTCATTTTTCAAACTTGAATCTCCTCATTTTTCTGTCCAGACAAGTCCAAACAGTCTGTATTTTAGTGTTTAAATGAGCTTTTAGTTTTACAGCAGCCAATCTCAGACACAGACAGTACAGAGTTGAGACATCACAGTAAGAATCTACTGTCCCAAACACAGGCTGGGGTATAAATGGCTCTGTCCTATACTGAGAGTCTTCAAAATAACAACTCAATTTATTGTGGAAATGTGGTTATTTTAGAAAAGCAGCATGAGATAGGTCCATTAAGTCAAAGTCAAGTAGTAAAAAATAGCATTGGGATGTGAACTTCAACTATATGAAGTTGTTATATGTTAAAATCATTGGTGGGTTTGGCAGAGGACGTTTTTGAGATGTCACAACAAAGATGTTGTGCTATGTATAAAAATAATTTGTCATGAAAATGTAAATGATAGAATGGTTCACTGTGGATTATCCAAGGTGTGTTGTGTAATTTTTTGGGCTTTAGGTCTCCATGCAAATGCTACTGCTTTACCTGGAATGCTCCACAGTGTGGCATTAAACTCTATTTTCACAGAAATAAGGAGGCATCACCACATCATGTTACAGGTTAGATTTGTCGAAACTTAACTTTTAATGCTTATGAAATTGTAATCAAATGCACTTAAATATGACAGAAATATATATGTATGTGGAAAATTCTAGAAAAGTGACTTACAAAAGTTACAGTATAAAGCTGTCCGACCAGCCACTGTGCAATAAGTAGCAATTTACTAGACTTAATCTGAAAAAATGACAAGAATTTACTTAAGCAAAGAAGGTCAACACGTGTTAGTTCATCATAATTGATCATGTCTCATTGAGCTAATGGAACTGATTGCCTCAGGGTCAAAATTAGTTCTTGGACCAGCCATACCTAGTAGTACTATAGTGGTAGCAGTAAAAGTATTTAGTAATAATACCACATTATAAGGGAGTTGCTGTTACCTCATGTGTACTCTATAGTATTTCTTGAGGCAGTGATCAGAGCATGTCCAAACTCCTCTTGTTATGCCTCACAGCTCCACTTTGCAGCAGATGACTTTAACTCAATATGTTTAGTGTGCTCATAACAACATAATCTTTTAGCATTCTCACAGTCACAAAAATTTGTTTGTAAATAAAGCAGCTCAGTGTTTAAAAAATATGGGACAAATTAGAGGAGTTATAAAGACAAATCTGCAATAACTATTCATAACCAAAAAATATAAGCAATTTAAAGCTTAGCAAAGATAAAATTTCTGGCAAAATCAAAATGGTCCTTATCAGATATAGGCAAGAGATCTGTTTACATGTACAAACCATAGTCTAAAAACAAACTAGACAGGGTACTGGGCAGAACTATAATTATATAAAACTATAATTCATATAATAACTAAAAATGAAACGTCTCCACTTCCTGTTAGGTGAATAAAAAAGGACTTTAAAGTGCATATAATTTACAGAAAAACATACAAAATTTCTGGCTAATTCCACGGTGGCTCAATCTCCATTCAAAATTACAATTTGAACTTGTGTCTTGTCCACCTGACGCTGTTGCGCAAAGTCTACACAACCACAACCCGAGCGCGTCTTGGCCAAATCTGACCGTACGGACTCCCCAGTGAACGTTTGGCCCCGGGTCCGAGTCAACTAAGGACAGAACAGAACCGGGAGCGTGCCTTACCTTGTTGGCAGGCGAGGATGAAGTGCGCAGCCAGTAGCAGCCCGTAGCCAAGCCTCGTCTCCATGTTGTGGGGCAAATCTCTTTAAATTTAAATCTCTCCGGAGCAGGTCCCGGTTCACCCGCAGTCCTCCTCACAGCTTCATGTCGCTCCTCTAGTCGGTGCCTTCCGCTTGGGTCGGTCTTTCTGCGAGTACGGTACAGATCCAAGTCCCGGTGCGACCGCTGAGCTCCGTCCGCTGAGCTCCACACCGAGTGAATGACTGACGAGCCCCGGGAGCGGAGCAGAGCAGTGCGCCGCCCACAGCAGCACCTCACCGGCTCTAGGCAACTTCCACCACTCCTAACACACCCTGGGGAATGAACAAGAATCATTAAGGGAGACTTATGCAATGCAATAAGTTAATAGTGTTAGTGTTTGAAACTGATACAAGGAGGGGCAAATACATGGATACACGTTATTTTAATGCATCCATGCGTAAAACAGAAGAAATTACGCGCGTAAATCGAGAGATGAAACAATAAAATTCGTATCCTTAAAGTAGATAAACTAGTTAACAAGCTGTTCGTCTCTAAGACGTAAACAAGGTGAATGTTGTGTTAGTTACATTTGTTTAGTTATAGGGAATACAGTTAATTTATATTGGCTATCATTGGCTGTCATTGCACTTTTGACCACAAGATGGAGTGGTGAGTTTCTGTAGTAATCAAAATAATATCAAGATCATTATCCAACATCTATGAACGAGTTTCAGTTTAATGAAGTACATAACATTTATGAATGACGGTCCACCAATAGTTTGGCTCCACAGACTAGATATGGGCTTTAAATCAAGGCTGCACAATATGACATTAAACTTGGCTGTCTCCTTATAGACATACAGGCGATGCCAATAGGCTAAGTTACAGGTGAGATATGTGGAGAGGCGAGCTGTTTACAGTAGAATGTGGATATGCAGTAGAATGCATTTTCAAGACATTTTTGATCAATAAAAACACCCACAGTGGAACAGTAAGCAAGCAATAACATCACCATGAAGACAAGCAGGTGCCAGACCCTCCATCAAAAAAAGTCACATAGCGCACCTTTAATATAATAAATCAGAAAATACATAACTGTATAACTTGACAGAAAATGCCCAAATATATGATAAAATATACTTCAATTCTCTACGAAGTATTGTTAAGAATTTTGTTTACGCCCACACCCACTTGTTTCACCTCCTCTCCAAAGACACTTATTGATACTTTTAAGCTTCACCATCCATTGAAAGCACCACCCAAAACTAATTACAGGCATCACCCCTGTTCCTCTCCGTGGCTCCCCCCACAGAGAGCTCCAGTACAGGGGGTCTCACACATGGTCCGTTCCCAGAGTGAATGCTGCTTTCTGGGTCACTGCTGATGTCCCGTCTCTGTTTTCATTGCGAGGTGGTGGTGGTGTCTGGAGGGGTCAGCAGGGCAATGGACCTCATGATCTTCAGCACACACACTTAAGGAGGCTTGTCACTCCATTAGTCCATAAAGGCACGGATAATGGCCCCCCGCTAGTGCTATCCTCTCAGACAGATGACTCTATGTAAGATGTATGGAGAGGAGTGGGCTTTCTCAAATGTGCTTTCAATGTAGGATGAGGTTTATTGCTCACACAATCACAAAGAAAGAACATGTAAAACAGAAGACTGAAATGATAAAAAGGATATAGCCTTATAGCCTTTAGTTTTTCACTTCATGAGGGTGTATAAAACTTGGGACATTAATTGTGAAAGAAGACATTCTGTGTTTAAGTCTGCTTTACAGTTATGATCTATGACACCCGTGGATGCTTATGGATAATTTGGACATTTTAAATTGCTATATTGGTCTAAAATTACTTTCGTTGACATTACCATAAACACCATAACAACAAACAGCCACAAAATTGTCACCACCTCCAACAGACCACTGCACATCACACTAGGGAGTAGCTACAGTGTGTCACCCTGCCAAATTCTGCAGATATCACAGAAAACAAAATTGGAGAATGAAGTATCGAGCAGTGAGCGTATGCCAGTGGTGGTGAAAATGGGGGCTGATAAGAGCAATGGTATCTTGAATACAGGAGAATAAACATGGAGAGAAAAAGGACCAAAAGCAATGGATTAAAATTAAAATTTCAGTTTCATTTTGTTGCTCCGAGTCCCAGCTCACCTTGCTCCCTCACTCCCCCTTGCAAACTTGTGAAATGTTACCCAAGATTAATTTTAGAGAATTTTGTCAAAACAAAATGTCAATGTCAAATGTCACTGAATATCGCCTGGAAGTAAGATGAAGTTTTGTTGTTTGTTCCCTGAGTTGTTTTCTCTCTCCTCTCATCCCTCTGTTGTTGTGGCACGACCCTTTCAACAACTTTAGAAATCTCCTCTTCTCGCAGTTTCAACCACTGGCTCAGATTTTTTAACCCCACAATAAACTAGCAGGACGCCCCTTCCTTTATCTCAGCGAATACATTTGCATAATTTACTCGGGATTATCTGTAATTTATGCACAAACTGCTTTCCACTTGTTAAGGCCAATGTTTCCAAGGAACGCTCATAAAATAGTATTGTAGTCTTGCGCATTATTGGGGGAGATTTCAACAGGGGTACGTGTAAAGTATCCCAAAAATATACTATGTGTTATGTCAAAAATACAGCAATTTGATATGTGGGGAAAATAAATACTTCATCATACTTCATGGCATCTTATCTCACTATAATTTATTTACTTTATTTTATTTTCACTAAAAACACAAATCCAAATCTTTAAGTCTTTAAATTAAAGGTGTGTAGCTTTTCTGGTCTGGACGGGTCTGCTACCTGCTTCTCTCCATGAAGATGTTCCCTGGTAGTGGTCCACATATCGATCACACCAAACCAAGTTAAAGATTGTATCTGTGGCAAGACATGGTATTTTTGAGAAATAAAAACAAATGTAATTGAATAAATGCAAGATAGATAAGTTTAAAGCCATACTGTGGAACATTCAAGCAAAGAAATAACAATTCCAGGGAGATAAACAGGTGGCAGACCCTCCACCAGAGAAGTTACACAGTGCAGTATTAAGTCCATCAAACTCTCTGAGCCTAGCCAATAATGATCTATTATGGATCTATTATTACTTTAAAATAATAGTACTTGAGTAAAAGTATGTTGTGATGTGACCCTCCCATTAATCAAACTGTCCAGGAAATTGTGTTTTTTGTTTCTTTTTTCTTTTTACAGTGACTTTTCAATGTTTTTTTTTCTTAGGGTCCCCTGCTCACATCCAAAAGAGAAACTAGAGCGTCAGAGCAGATTCAGTGAACAGACCTGAATGAGAGCAGTCCATGGTGTAGTATTGACTTCAGAGGGACAGCCGCCGCGGGACACTCACCGATCGGGATGGGAAGTGGACCACAAGAGGAACATGGGACTCTGTGAATACAATATCAGGCACATTACACTGACACAATGAGAAATGTGAACAGGATTATTGTTAGAGACCACAGCAATGTTGTATGGTTTTGATAATGAAAAAATATAAAATTGCATGTTTATTTCATTACAATAAATGATTACCCACATAAAAAAATAATAATATAATAAAATAAAACAATGATCTGATCTATTGTTGAAGGTATATCTCCATGAAGATTTTACTGCTTTATAAATATTGTAAAATACTTTATTCCACAGCATGGAATTAGACTTATCTGTTTTTTTGTTTATTTCATTACAGATGTTTTTATTGCTCAAAAATATCTTTAAAGACATACATTCATACTGTGTGTCATTCGCCTCTCCACAGACATGACTTGTAAGTCTGATGTCCCAATGGATGTCACATTCTAAGTACAGCAACCAGAGGAGTTGCAAAGCACATATTTTTTCAGTTGTAAAAGTGTTGTACCATAAGTGAATACAAATATAAAAATGATTTTAAAAAATCATAATAATACAAAAAAAAAAAAAAAAAAACATTTAACATCCTATATTACACAAAATTGACTTCTATGAGCTTTAAGCCATGTTAGAATATTGTTACCTCATCAAAAACTTACCTTGAGTTGTGTTTTCTTCCACTTCCACATGTTTGAGTAGCCCTGCATTATTAGTCTGTTCCACCTTGTGATATCATGTAGTGATAGTTTTCAAGTTAACAGCTACCATTTGCCTTTTGTGTTTTGTAGAGATTGGAAATTCCAGGGTAGAAATTATCCAAATGATTCTAGTGAAGGTGTATGTATGGAGTAAGAAAGCTGTCAAAAATATTTGTGCGCGTAAAATAGAAATCCGTGCGTATTTGGGAAATCCGTGCATATTTGGCTGTAGTTGCGCATAAAATAAATATTTGTAAACTCTCAAATGAGTCCAGTCGTACATAAAATATATTGTGTGTATTTTATCCATCAGAATACGAATTGAAAAATTACGACGTCATGAATTACAATCACGAAATGAAAATTTACGATTACGCTTTCATCAGTACAAATACAAATTCACAGACGGAACTTTACTGTCAAAAATACGTCATCACTTCACAGACATTATCCATCGAGCAGAAGAAACATCGATCAAGATCAAGACTGCGCATGCTCAAGTTTGTAGCAGAGGGTAAAAACAGAGTAATAGCACAAGAAGCTACAACAGCGACCAACAAGTGGGTTAATTAAAATCTATTGTAAAAATGTCTTGAATTCGGGAACCGAACGCTGCTGTATAATATTGTGTAGAAACACCTCCTTTGAACGGGAAATTGCACCTATATGTTAGATAACATAGTGGTAGCCAGTTGGCTAACATCCGACGTAACGTTATCCCAGGGCTAATTAACAAATATCGGCGTTCTCTGTATGTTTAGATTAAAACATTCACGGCTACAGCCACTCTGTTTTTACCCTCTGCAACAAACTTGAGCATGTTCAGTCTTGATCTTGATCGATGTTTCTTCTGCTCGATGGATAATGTCTGTGAAGTGATGACGTATTTTTGACAGTAAAGTTCCGTCTGTGAATTCGTATTCGTACTGATGAAAGCGTAATCGTAAATTTTCATTTCGTGATTGTAATTCATGACGTCGTAATTTT